TAAACAAATTTTTAAAGAACAGCATAAACATCTTCCAAGCATTTAATATTCATTGGGAGTACAAACTGCTTATGTAAGTAAAGATTTACAGGACTAAGTCAGTAATTAGGGTAGTAGAAAATACTTCTTATGTACTACTGATTAAACAAGATATGCCTATAATTACTCCACTTCTAGTTTCCAAAATGTACCAAGACCATCGTTTCTTGGCTAGATTCCTGTTGCTGTTTTTCAGGGGCAAGTTTGATTTCTAATTAGGCTGCTGAGCTTCTTTTTAGCATATTTTTCTATTTTGTGTTTTTATCTCACTTTCTCTATTAGTACTTTTCTTTCCCTTCCCTGTTGCCATACAACACTTCACAGAGGTAGGTGGGGAAGCTTCAGTCCAAGGGGATCTGTAGGCACATGCAGGTAACTTGAGAGTCTTCATCTTTTCGGGAGAGGCACTTTCCCACCTGCAAGTCACTGCCTTGCACTGAGTGTGTCACTGTGAACATTTCAGTTCGATTTAATTTGAATTTGTGTATTTGTTGTTCTTGCCAAGCTACTTGACAAGAAATGTTGGGCGACAATTCTGGGTTGCCACTGCCTCACTCAAGTACTAGCAGAAAGTAGATCTCTGAGCAAGACAGGAGAGATTTTATTTTCTTGCACGGAGGAGTGACTCCAAGGACTGTGGTGCAATGAGTCAGTTGAATTGTAATTGCTTTCAGAAGCGGAGAAACTTAGAGAGGGGGGTGAAACAGTGCGCTGAGAGGTGATACAGGAGAGATGGTAGAAATGCCAGTATGGCCTCCTATCCGCACTTGAAATTCTCCTCCAGCATAAGGAAGAGAGGTAATAGAGGGACAGAGGGATGTGTGAGACAGTGCTTTTGTGGCCACCCAGCAGCTCCGCACTTTCACCCCAAAAGAGATAGGCTGGCATAAATGCGTCCCAGGCTCTGGAATCTGGCAAACTATTTACGGCTCGGTTAGTTTGTGTTGTTTTGGGAGGGTGACAGAGGACAAAAAGCAGAGGAGCAAAGTGTGAAAGGGACATTTGTCCACTCACTGTTTGTATTATCAAATGGAGAGAAGTAATAGATTGCTGGAAGGATAATGTCATAATGTCATCCCACACACCAGCCTGTAGTCGTGGGTTATGTTTTCCCAAATGCTCATTCCTTTCCTTTCAGTGTAATAAGAATGTAATAAACATTGTTATTTGAGGGAGAGCAAGGGCGTGGGCTCCCGGGGCATTCATTCAAGCCAGCTCTTAACTTCGCCCTGGTTGCAAAATGGACTCTGGAGCTCCAGTGGCCGGTGGTGCCGGAGGCCCTGGCACATGTTGGAGGTGCCGGTGCTGCTGCTGCAGCGGCTGCAGCTGAACTGGCACCAAACACACTGAATGGAAAAAAAACCTCATAAATGTCCTCTAATTTAAATCAGTTGATCATCTGTAGGGTTGCATTAATAGGGAATGCAAATATGATTTTAATACAACTTTATTACGTGTTAAGGAAGGAAATGCTTGTTAACTTCTATAAGTATCATTTTAGAAGTACTTTTGGTTCATGATTTGAAATGTTTTTTTCACCCAATTAATGTGTTCCTCACACTGGGATGATGATTATTTCAGCCTCAGATTATTTCCAGGTGCACTGTCTCTAAGGTTAAGTATTGCAGACCTTCTCAAGATCTTTTTCATAAAGGCACATACTTTATTCCGCTCATTTCATTACTGACCCGACAGTCCCGCCTGTTTGTACCTTTCAAGGCATTTCTTAACAGAAATGTAATGCGACTGTAATGAGGAGCTATAATTAGTATTAATGAGGCTTCCTGGAAGGAGCAGTCATCGCAACATTTTTTTTACTGTCCCTAAAAATAATAATGTTCCAGCGCCTCTGGCTGCCTCCGATCCCGGAGCGGGGACGGTGCTCCCCCCCCCGATCCCGGTGCGGGGTCGGTGTCCCGTCGATCCCGGGGCGGGGTCGGTGATCCCCCCGATCCCAGGGAGGGGACGGCGCTCCTCCCGATCCCCGTGTGGGGACGGTGCTCTCCCCGATCCCGGTGTGGGGACGGTGCTCTCCCCGATCCCGGTGTGGGG